GGGGCCAATTAGGGTGGTGATTTGAAGCAAAAGGGGAGGACGTGGCCGGTTTGGTTGGGTTCAGAGGGAAGCATGACTTCTTTGTTCTCTATGCTTGGTTTAGGTTTTGTTTGCATTTTGATCAACGATACCTTGGATTGTGTGTCTCGTTGCTTGTTTGAGTGAGTTTTCATTCCGTGCATGGTTGTTCTAAGTAGGATCCATTGACTTCATTCCGTGCTAAATTGGATTTATATGTAATGGCAATAGTTTATTTGATCCTGTGTGTGTGTATCCCTTGGTTTTTGCTCGAGGACTAGCAAAAGTGTAGCTTGGGGGGTTTTGACAAGCTCACTTTAGGGCGCGCTTTAGAGCATATTTTAGGATGATTTTGGATGTATTTGGGGCCGCTTTGGCCGATTATTACCTTGTTATGCTTACGTTCCCCATATTACGTGCTTCACGGGTTTTCAGTTTGTTTTTGATGTGTTTTCAGGTAATATCAACCGAGTTTAATCGGATCCCGAGCCCTTGATGCGTAACCGAGCTAGCCTTGACCGGAGTCCGAGGAGTTAAGGAAGTTCAAGTGTCGTGCATTGATTACATAGCACAAGCAGCACGGCCGTGTTACCATAGGCACACCCGTGCTGGCCTATAAGCAAGCAACACCAGGCAAGGAAGCACGGCCGTGCAAGCCAATAGCACGGCCGTGTCAGTATCCACGCACCCGCACGGCCGTGCAGGCCATTAGCACGGCCGTGCCAGATGTTTCCCGTGCCCGTGTCAGCTTCAGTATGAGCCCCGTGCTAGAGCATATTCAGCACGACCGTGTCATTTTTAGCACGGCCGTGCCATATATAGCACGGCCGTGCCAACTTGAAGAAGAAACCCGGTTTACTTACTGACAAGCTAGCACGACCGTGCCAAATACAGCACGGCCGTGCTGATCCAGGGTTAACTGCGCGCTTGACTTCTCCGAATTAGAAGACGTATATAAGGCCCGATTTTAAGAGGATTAAAAGACAGTTTTAGAGACAGTTTTAGAGATAGTTTTGAGAGCCTTTGTAGAGAGTTATTGGAGAACGTTCTTAGTATTAGAGATTCATTAGTTTTCTTAGAGATTTTTCTAGAGATTTTAGTTTTCTTGGATTGATTTGAAGCAAGATTTGCGAAGATTCTTTGTATTATTCATTGACGACGGATATCAAAGTTCTGAACTTTTCCATTGATTCGCATCAATACAATTGGTATTATTCATTCTTGTTTATTAATCAAGCTTTATTATTCCTTAATCAGAATTCATGTTTATATCTATTATGCTTTTGGAATTCATTATTGCTTTGATTATGAATATGTGTGAGTAGTCTCCTAGCTAGGGTTTCGGGATGAAACCCGGCCTAGGTAATCTATGTAATTGAGGATTGATTTTGATAAACGGATTGTGATTAAATTGATTATATGCGATTGCATGTTAATTCATTATAATAGGAGTAGCTAACCTAGAATCTTGAATTTGATTGCATGATATTCTTGATTTGAACAAGAGATTGTGAATTGAGTATTTCATTATTGAATGTGGTTTGATTATGTATCGAGTAATGTTAAGTGCATGAGAAATCCAAGCTTAGTATTGCCCGTTGTCTTCCTATCACATGATATTGATCAGACTTATAGTCTTTGCATATCCCGTTTGTCTCTGTGATTCCTTGTTGCTTAGTTACCAATGGTTAGGCGGATTCCCGTTCTCCCTAGTGTCTTAGTTTATTGATTTATTCCATCTTATTAGTAGTATTTTAGAACACCATTTTCCATTGATTTCGAACTAGCTTAGGTTTAAGATTGATTTGCAATTACTCTCGTTCCTCGTGGACCGAACCTTTATTTGCCATTGTACTTGGTTATAGGGTGTTCGTATAAGTATTGTTTGATTGAGAGTTAGATTGTAGCGACCGATTTAACACCTGTCAATATTATACACCATACTTCCTTCACGAGTCTTGAATACTCCAAGCCTTTCTCGAAGTTTCCTTCGTCCTCGATGTAAAAGGTTGATAATTATGAGGGTTTGGTCCCAACTCTATATTTCAATTCTTATTTGATTTATTTATTTGGTTTGATTTAATCTTTCTTGAAGTTACTAATGTGTGTATTGTTTTGATAGAAAGAGATACAAGACATCAAAGTGAGTAGATCTACTATCTTTATTCCTTACTTTTGATATATTAATCATGATCGGAATCTTGTTTTAATTCCTAGTATCATGTAAGGATTTTTATTTTGATTTCTAGTATCATGTTTAGGGTGTTTATTAATATTTCTAATATCATGTTGATTTCTAATATCATGTTTAGGCTAAAGCTTTGTTTTTTATTTAGTGAGATGTTAGGGTTTGTTATTAATCCATTTAGTATCATGCCTAGAATCTTGCTAATATTGTTTTTATTATGATAATGATTGTTGTGTCGATGATTATCATGTTGGTTGATTATTCATGATTGATTGTTATTGCTTGATCACGCCCTCTTTTGCAAGTTTAAAGGGAATTTGTACTTGAAATCACGCCTAATAAGATAATTAATAATTTGATTTAGATTTAATATGATTTTAATTCATGTGATCGCCAATAATAGATTTATTTGTGTATTAATAATCAACCAACATATATTAAACAGGTTTAGGATTAACTTGTTGTATGTATGTTGATCGGAAAGCGTACATGAATACCATAAGAATTAAGTAGAGGCCGATTTAGGGCGGGATCAATCTCTTTTAGGTTGGATTCGTACCATTGATGAATGGCATTTATGCCACAATTTCACCCTTTTTCACTAGAGAATTTCCCCGATTTGTCACTTGTTTGCACCTCTTCTTACCGTTTTTACTCCTATTTTAGTTACTTTAGCTCCCTCTCGTGTTTTCCCTTTCCTTTTTTCTTTTCTTCTAATTTATACCTTCTATTTGTGTGTTTTGATAACTCCTAGTACTCGTGGGCGAATTTTGGATTGCTAGACGGAGTGGAGTTGCTAAGGAAGCTTGTCAAAGGAAGAGGAGATGCTGCAAAGGAGAGGGCGCGCTGGTACATAAAGCCGCGGACATGGGGGATCTTGAGCCAATGGGCAGTTTCTGTAGAATGCTTGGAGATGGCCAGCCGCAAGTGCAGCGTTAATGGTCGCGGGTACAGCAGCGAAGACCCGCGGGCGCGGCAATAAGGGCCGCGGGCGCGGCGATCTGGGTCTGGCGAACTTCTTACCCATGTTAGAGAGGGCGCGACTGCCTACTTGAAGAGCCCTCTCCCTTGCCCATTTTCCACATTTTAATAGGAGACCATAAATAGTCTCGAGCTTGAGTCTTCAATCAATTACTATTCCATTGACATCAAAACAATTTGAAGAGAGAGAAAATAGCTAGTTCTCAAGTTTTAATCTTTGTAATCAAATATTCAAGCTTTCTTAAAAATTATTGCTACTATTTCATGTTTGGCTAATCCTTCATCATTTATAATAGTAATCTCTTTTCCCTATTCTCAATATCTTTAGTTTTATTGTTCTTATTTATGTTTTCTTTCATAAATTTCCTAGCTTTACTTGTTTCATTGCCTTCTTTTTTATTTAGAATCATGCTAAGTTATGTTAGGATTGAATACATGTTTAGTTTAGTTCTCATGGCTATTTTCCTTTCTCTAGCTTAGATTTCTAGCTGGGAAGGGGGTGAAAATCATGTTTGCTTGAGTTTCTATTGATTGTTGATCGGGTTTTACCTTGACTTGATGATTTGTGCTTAAATATGCTTGGATTTATTGTGTGCACCTTTAACCCCAATGTTTTAGTCTTAGATTAGATGCATGAGAATGATCTAGTTTAGGATTGATTGATTTCATCAACTTGTTTTGAGTAGTTACATGAGAATGAATTGCTTCGAGTAGAGTTTGTATTCCTTGGTATAAATCCTTATTGATTTTCATTAGTATCTTATTGTTCATGATTGGAACCCCTCTCCCTAGTGTTTTTTGCCCTTGTTATCTCTATAGTTTTTCCTTTCATTTTCACTTTAAAGTGTCTAGTTTAATCATTCTTTTTTTTGGATTGATTTGGACTCTTTTGATAGATAGTTTAATCATAAAACTTCTCAAAACAACCCATAATATCCCCTTTGTCACTAGCAATAGATTCTAGATTTCACAGTAATAGTGCATGACCCCCGTTTCTTTGGGATTCGACCCTAACTTGCCACTATCTCACTTAAATTTGATAGAGTTAGGTTAGGAGTAAAAATTGTAGATTTGATCTAGGGTAGTAGTAACGACCTATTATCCAATGATCAAAATTTTTGGCGCCGTTGCCGGGGAAACGGCTTGTTTTGCACTTTTATAGCGTTATTATTGGATTTGTTGCCTTTTTATTTTGTTCCTTTACCTTCTTGCTACTCATTACTAATTGTTTGGTTAGCTTTGGTGGATGCAAAGGAGATCTCAAGGACCTCCCACACACTACATTGACCACAAAATCGACCGCACTTTGAGACAAGTCCGAAGACTTTATCAAGAAGAGGGGCGAGGTCTTGGTGCTATTTTTGATAGTGAGAGTGATTCTTTTTGATAGACAAGTCCGAAGACTTTATCAAGCTCTCAAAGCAAAGAAATGGTGAGGCAAGAGAATGATGTTTTGTTTCGTGAGTTTGGAAATCCTGTGGATTATGATCTCACGGGAGCGATTTTGCTACCCGTCACGGAAACAAACTTTGCCATCCATCCTCAATACACTAGAATGGTTTAAGCGGAGCAATTTTCGGGTTCTCCAAGTAAAGATCCTATCGAGCGTCTTGATAGATTTCTTGAGCTTTGTGCCATGATTCAAACCAACCAAGTTTCTCAAGAATACATCCGTATACACTTATTCCGACAGTCTCTTTCGGGTAGGGCAAAGAAGTGGCTCAAACAAGTCAAGCCAAACTATTTCATGACATGGAGGGAGGTAGTCAAGGCATTCTTGAAGAGGTTCATTTTCGAAGAAAAGACCATCGAAATGAGAAGGAAGATTGCATCATTTGAACAAGAAGCGGATGAGAGTCTTAGTGAAGCTTGGAAAAGATTCAAAGAGTTGGTACAAGCATTTCCTCATCATGAATACAATCAAAGCTTGCTCATAAGGTTCTTCTACGATGGTTTAGAACCTATGTCTAGAGCTAACTTGGATGCGAGGGCGGGTGGACAATTGATTAAAGTCCCTCAAAATCAAGTTGAAGCAACAATTAAAGAGGTAGTGAATAACTACTCATGGGGTGGTAGAAGGAGGAGTGCACCAAAGAAGGGTGGAAAGTATGAATTGGAGAAGGTTGATCAATTTCAACATCAAATTGAGCTCTTGACAAAAGGGCTTGCAAAGTTAAACATGAATGTCAATAGTGGGGCAAGCTCCTCCCAAGTCAATTCTTTCTCTTGTCAAAATTGTGGTGGCACAAACCACAATACATCTTATTCTGGAGGTTTGAGCCCGGAGCATGTAGCGGCATACAACACAAGGCAAGATGGATATAGGGGAGGTGGCGGTGGAGTAGCTTGGAGACAACCACCACCCGGATTTGCAAACCAACCTCACCAATGGAGCCAACAAGCTCAACAACCATACAAATCCAACCCCCAATACCAAAACCCACCTCCATTTCAAACCCCAAACCTAAGAGGAAACTACCCAAGAAACAACCAACACAATAATCAAAACCAATACCACAACCAAAATCAAGCGACTCAAAGGAGTCAAGAGCAAGCATCTGAACCCGATCCTACTCAAACCCAAATTCTTCAACAACTTCAAGCCATGAATCAACAAATGCAAGAGGTTAAGGCTCATAACAAGACGGTTGATTCACAACTAGCACAATTGGCCGAGAGAGTTCCTTTCAACTCACCTTCTACTCTACTCGTACAATCACAAACTAACCCTTCGAACATTGTGAAACCCGACTCTTGCAAGGCAATCACATTGAGATTGGGTACGTTTTATGAGGGTCCCAAGGAGGAGGATAGTGAAGAAAAAAAGAAAGGAGAAGAGAGTGTGAGTCAAGACAAGGAAGTTGAAGAAGAGAAAGTTGTTGAGAAAGAGAGAAGTATGGAGAAAAAGAAGTCTAAGGATGTTGTGACATCTTCAACTCCTAGTGAGACTAGGAATCTTGATGGACCAGTTCCTTTTCCCGGTCGACTTGCGGAGAGGAAGTTGAATGACAAATTTGCAAAGTTCCTTAGTGTGATGAAGAACTTGCACATAAACCTCCCATTCATTGAAGTTGTCACACAAATGCCTTCATACTCCAAGTTCTTGAAAGATATTCTCACCAACAAGAGGAAGCTTAATGATAAGCTTATCACTCTCCCCCATCAAGTGAGTGCACTTGTTCAACATAAGATGCCCAAGAAGCAAAAGGATCCGGGAAGCTTTACTTTACCGGTAAAGATTGGGAACATGGAAACTAGGGGCGCCTTAGCCGATTTTGGAGCAAGTCTTAGCTTGATCCCCTTATCCATTGCTCAAAAGCTTAATGTTGAGAAGATCCCTACAAGGAAGACAATCCAATTGGCCGACCGTTCGGTGAAGTTGCCTTGTGGTGAGCTTGAAGATGTTCCTATCCAAGTTGGGCTTATATATGTGCCTTGTGATTTTTTAGTGATGGATATGGAGGAGGATGTCGATACTCCCTTGATTTTGGGACGTGAAGCTCTCAAGACCTTGGGGGCGGTGATCAATTGCAAGAACAACACCATTACATGTGAGGTGGCCGATGAATTTTTTTTTTGAGTTCTCTAAGCTACTCAAGACCCCCATGGTTGAGAAGTTCTATAGGGTTGATGTTGTGAATGAAGAATTAGATCGCTTGGGAAGGGTTATGACGAGTCCTCAAGATCCAATGGTTGAAGCTCTTACATTTGAGGAAGAGTACCACTCTCAAGAAGCAAAAGAGTTTTTCATGGCCATTGAAGAAGCCAATAAAGAGGAAGAGGATGATCCTAGGGATGATGAGCTCGAACTAGCGGAGGAAAAATTGGAGGAGAGTTCCAAGCCTCCTCCCAAGGAAGAACTCAAACCCCTTCCCCCATCTTTGAAATATGCTTATCTTGGAAATAAAGGGGAATACCCTATCATTGTCAATGCTACCCTTGATGGGCTTGATTTGGAAAAATTACTTCATGTGTTGAGAAAATATAGAGATGTGATAGGGTATAGCATTGATGATATCAAGGGTATTAGCCCTTGTTTGTGCATTCATCGTATTCACCTTAAGGATGATCAATCCACCTTAATTGAGCCTCAAAGGAGGTTGAACCCCAACCTCCAAGAGGTTGTCAAGAAAGAAATTTTGAAATTGCTTGAAGCGGGCATAATCTATGCTATCTCCGATAGCAAGTGGGTTAGCCCGGTTCACGTGGTTCCAAAGAAAGGTGGAATCACCATTGTCAAGGGAGAAGGAGGAGAGGAAATATCCACCCGGACGGTGACCGAGTGGAGGATGTGCATTGATTATAGGAGGTTAAACAAAAATACAAAGAAAGACCATTTTCCTCTCCCCTTCATGGACCAAATGTTGTAGAGACTCTCCCATCATGCTTTCTTTTGCTTCTTGGATGGATATTCCGTCTTTTTCCAAATCCCTATCCATCCAAATGATCAAGAGAAAACTACTTTAACGTGTCCATATGGAACATTCGCATACCGAAGAATGCTATTCGGGTTATGCAATACTCCTTAAACTTTCCAACGATGCATGACTTCCATTTTTTCTGAAATGCTTGAAAACGAGATTGAGGTTTTTATGGATGACTTTAGTGTTGGTGGCTCGTCTTTTGACACATGTCTTTATATTCTTGAAAAAGTTTTGAAAAGGTGTCAAGAGACGATTTTGGTTTTAAATTGGGATAAATGCCATTTTATGGTCGAGGACGGTCTTGTCCTAGGCCATAAAGTATCAAATAGGGGCATTGAAATTGATTCGGCCAAGGTTTCGGTGATTTCCAAATTGCCCCCTCCTACTTCCGTTATGGGAGTGAGAGCCTTTCTAGGGCATGCCGGTTTTACCGGAGTTTTATCAAAAAAATCTCATCAATCTCAAAACCTTTGACCGAATTACTCAAGAAAGATGTTGTGTTCAACTTTGATGAGGCTTGTCATAAGGCATTTCAAAAACTCAAGGAAGCCCTCATCTCCTCTCCTGTGGTGAAAGCTCCGGGTTGGAGCTTGCCTTTTGAGCTAATGTGCGGTGCAAGTGATTTTACAGTAGGTGCGGTGCTTGGGCAAAAGACGGAAGGAAGATCTCATGTCATCTACTATGCAAGTAGAACGCTTGATGAGGCTCAAAAGAATTACACAACGACGGAGAAGGAAATGATTGCGGTTGTGTTTGCCATGGACAAATTTAGGAGTTATTTGTCTTTTTGGAGATGCCCAAGAGAGGGCTCTCCATTAAGACCCGCGGGCGCGGCCCATATACCCGCGGGCGCAGACAGGCATCCTTCAGAAATGTTCAACAAACTGGAGATGCCTTGGAGATGTCAGGGAGAGGGCGCGGCATCTCCAGCTGCGAGCGTAGCATGCACAGCCGCGGGCGCGAACAGTCAAACCCGCAGGCGCAGACAAGCTTTCTTCAGAAATTCTCACAAAGGGGAGATGCCCAGGAGATGCCCACCCACGGGCGCGGCACCCAGACCCGTGGGTGCGGCATTACGGGTTTGCGAGTTTCAAGTGCTTTTTCTCAGCAAAAAACCAAAACCCCTTATTTCCCCAAATCAGATTTTCGACCCTCTCTCTCTCTAAACCTCACTCCTTTTCAAACCCTAACTCCTTATACCTCAAATTCTCATCATAAATCATCAATATCCATCAAATTTCCTCACTTTCCTTCAAGTTTTCTCACAAAAATCTGAAATTTCACCATTCAAGCCCCCAAATTTCGGTGTTCTTCTTCAAACGGACCTTGTATCCACCATTGAAGGGATTTTGAAGGTGGACTTAGAATTCTTATTCAAAGGGCTAGTTGGAGTAGTTTTTGGTACTGATTGTTGGTATATTTCTTTTCCACTCTAGTTTTCCTTTGAATTTTAAGTAGTTCCCTTGTTGAGAAAATTTGTTATCTTGTGAATTTCATGTGGAAATTTTTTATGGTTGCATGCCTACTTTGTGTTAATTTATCTTATTGAGGATTGTTAATGTTTAGTTATTGTTGTCCTTGTTAGTTGTTGTTGGATTATATTACTTGGATTGTGGTTATGCTTGGTGAGTCCGTAAGTGTGTTCATTGTGTTTGATATTTGAAGTTGGAGAATTGTTGTGGTGTGATTGTTGCGGTGATTTGTTGAGGTATTTGATTGCATTTTGGTGTTGGTGAAATTGGTTTTTGGTGAAAAGAAGAGGAAGAGTAGGAAAGGACCCCAAAATTCTACATCCACAAACCCCCAACAAAATGAACAACCCACTCCCCTACCTTTACCACCCCTCAAATTCCACAATAAAAACCACACACCCATCTATGACAATCTCCAAAACCGGAAACTAAGACCCTCAAAACACTACCACCAACCCTCTACGACAAAACTCGGCATTCACAACGATTGTTGGTTCCTATTCAACAATCTTCGGTTAGGCTCATCTGTGAGAAGTGCGTACCAAACCTATAAGGAGCCCACTCTTGAGTTCCTTACCTCTTTTGAATGTCATTCCACGAGGGATAAGGACCTCGCCATTTCCTTCCAACTTTTCAACAAAAAATAAACCTTCACCCTTCGCCAATTTAACCAACTATTGGACCTTAACCCGGACGCCGATATGTTCTTCCCCGAGCATGAGGTCCTTCATGATTATAATCCCCTTTCATGGTGGAAGGTCATTTCAAGAATGGACGCCTTCAATTCCAAGTATTCCTTGGCCAGCCAAATCATGCACCCAGCCATCAGACTTCTACGTCGAATTCTCGAGTACATGGTCTCTAATAAACAAGACTTGGGAAAGATCACAACGAAGGAAATCCGAATTTTGTGGCTAGCTACACAGTCAGAGTTGGGGCATAGAGTGAATTTTGGGTTCCTATTCACCAAGTGCATCGAAGGGGTCCTCTCGGGTACAAGGAAAGGGGAGATACATTTCAGTAGGATGATCACTTGGTTGGCCGAGAAATTGGGTCATATAGACAAATTGGGTTCTTGCACTCCCATTGGGAGAAGTGACAGAAGTGATATCTAGCTCGATCTTGAGCAATTAAAAACAATGAAATTCATCGCAGATACGGAGGATAGAGGGAGGACTTGGAGTTTGTTAGTCTCCCCGAGCATCATTGTTTCCTCCCCAAGCCGGAGTTCACTTCTTTCACGAGGGAGGGGGTTAATCACCCTTGGTGGGTAAAGAAGGATTCAGGTGTCCTCCCAAGTGCAAGGATGGAGATGGGTGAAGGATCCGGCGAAGGTCTTGGTCAGGAGAGGATGAGAACGAGGAGAAGGTCGTCCCCCTAAGAAAACAATAGCAACAATTTCAACAAAGGCAAGGAAGACAACAACAACAACAACAAAATCAACAATAATTTGACTACCAACAAGAAATGGCGGCGATGCGGGCCCAAATGGAAAACATGCAACTTGGCATGCAAGGTATGTTCGCCTCCCAACAACACCATTCTTTCCAAACTAATTCTTTATACAATGCTAGTGTACGTAGAGGGGATGTCACTCCCCGAATTAACTACCCTTATGTGTCGGCCCAACAAGGGCCCGTGCCATCTTGGGGGGGTGACAACCAACGTACGTACCCCTATTGGCAAGGCCCCTCGGACCCTAATGTTCCATGACTTGATTTCCCCGACGAGTCCGGTCATTATGACTACCGGGTTTCGGGTGGGAGTGATTATCGGAGTGACCCTAACTACCCCTACATTGATCCCTCTCACCCTTCACCTCTATTCCAACCCGAGCCATATGACCAGTTGTCCGCACCCCAACTAGACCTTTTCAAGGGTCATTATGGGTGGCCTCCCAGTTACACCAGAGGCTGGGATCCCTATGGCCCCCCCTCTGATTTTTTCTACGATAGTTGGAGTGCGGATGACGGTGGTGCCGACCCTAGTGGCCAATAGTTTCCCTCCCCGGTCTGTTTGTTTCCTCCCTTTGTGGTACGTCCCTTTCTTTCCTTGTGCATCTGAAGCATCGAGGACGATGCTTTACTCTAGTGTGGGGGGGTGTTTGAGTCAAAAGGGAGTGTTAGGAAGTGTTTTGGATAAGTGTGGGGGAAGGCACCTAGGACTCAGGGGAACGTTTAGAGGATTTGAGTTTGGGTGTTGTTGGTAAGCTCTTGGTAGCATTGTTGTTGTTGGTTGCTGATGATGTCTATTTTTTATGATGATGATTATGTGTTTGGGTAGTTGGTTATTCCTAAATATTTGAGTTTACAGATTTTCTCTCTCTTTTTTTCTAACATTTTTCTCTCTATAGTGCTTGTTTTGTTTTTCTCTCTCTTTTGTACCTTAGAAAAAATTTAGAAGCAACATATGGAGATATGGTAAATTGTAAGGTTGTTTTATTTTTCTTCATGAGACATATGGGTGAGATATTTCCTCTACTTTCTCTTTTCTTTCTTGTGGTGCATTTAGTTTAGGAATTAGTTTAGGAAGAAGTTGAATGATTCGAGGTTGTTTGCATACGGTTCCAAGGAACCTGGGATCGTTGGTGTTGATACCGAACGATCATTTGTATGTCGATTGGGATTTATTTGGATTTATATGCCTCATGTGTGAACCTCTTTGATTTCTTCCTTCTGTTGTTTTGTTGTCATTTTCTTTTGTGTGACAAACATGATTATGGCAAGATGATATGGTTGTGTTTTGGAATTTGGTTGTACATTTGGACTCTATTTCCTTGATGATGCGCCTTAGAATGCTTGTCTTTTCTTAACTTTATGATGAGATGCACGTTTTGAGATTTCCTTTGGTTGAATTAGACGAACCTTAGCTAAGGTAGCAAGGGTAAGAACTTGTGAGGGCGTTTGAACCCTTAGTTCATGGGATGTGGTAAGATGGA